ATCTAAAAATTTACTGCAAAGGCTAAGTTCAATTCTGTCAGTCACTGTCGGAAGTCCCGACGTTTGGGTCGGAACTCCCGACGTTGTCAGAAGTTCCGGCGCAAACGTCAGCAGTTCCGACGCCTACGTGAACTACAAAAGCAAGTGCCAAATTTAACTTATGGATAAATGAACTTACAACCTTTCTTCCTAGTGGTTTGGTGAAGATGTTGGGTCACTCTCTTGACGCCGTAATGCCTCCAAACCGTAGATCGAGTCCAAGCCCTAAAATGGAAATTTGGGAGAGAGAGAGACAAACACATACAAGTAATATCTAGCAATCACAACAACAAGCACACGGGACACAAAGATTTATCCCGAGGTTGGAACCCCACTAAGGAGCTCCTACGTCCCCTCGTTGTTGAGGTGACCACAAAGGTCGGAGTCTTTTCCACCTCCTTGCCCTCTCTAAGCGAAGCGAACACAAAGGTCATTTGAGCTTTCCACTAAGAAATCGAGGGGTAATACAAACTTCCCGAGGATCTTCCACAAGATGGAAGCTCTTGAGCGACGCCTAGCCGGCTAGGGGTAAAACCCCAAGAGTAATAGACGCAAAATCAACCGGCTTGACGAAGAAATCAAGTGCTCAAGCTTTCCAAAGTGATGCTCTCACTTAATCCACTCTCCTTTCAATCAAACCCTAAGGGAATTGAAGATTGGAGCAAAGGGGAAGGAGAGGGTGCTTTTGGTTGCTTGGGAGCTGTTCAAAGACGAAGTGAGTCAACTCGAAAATGAGTCCGTGAACGGTTAGAAGTGAAGAGAGGAGTATTTATACTCCAAGTGAAAATCCAACTGTTTGAGATCTCACGCCGGAAGTCCCGACGCAGATCCCGGAAGTTCCACTACAATGTAAAACACCGCTCACAACGAGTCGAAGTCCACGGAGAAAGTCGATTGTCGGAACTCCGGCGGCAGACGTCGGGACTTCCGACGGTCGGAACTCCCGACGATCGTCGGGACTTCTGACGAGCACAGTTAATCAAACAGCCCAAGATCGCCGAGGCCGGACTCCGGCTTTGTCAAGTCGGTCGTCGGAACTCCCGCGAACGTCGGGACTTCCGATGGACGGAACTCCCGTGAACGTCGGGACTTCCGGCGATGCATAATGACGATCGAAGCACAGTGCCGGACTCGGCAAAGGTCGGGACTTCCGATCGTCGGGAGTTCCGACTTACGCCGGGACTTCCGACACCGAAAGTCACAGAAAAAATATTCTCTGTGCTCATGAAGTGCTAGAGTGACACACGATTGATTTTATTTAAATGCTTGAGCACTTTATCTTCCTCAGACCAACTAAACTTGCATCCCTCTTTATAGTGCGGCGGATCCTAAACTCAAAGACAAAATTTAAAACCTTTGGAGATCGTTTTGAATTCGTCCGCCTTTACAACTTCAAGAATTGAGGGATACCATTTCATCTTTATCAACTCTTTGAATCTTTCATGGGACTAATAGTTGCAACATATCTCATTAAGATCACATTAGTCCCTAATTTGAATGTCATCAATACACCAAAACCCACATAGGGGGCAAATGCACTTTCAAGGGGAGGGATCCAGATAGAGGAGTTTGGACCAATGGGAGAGCTCCATTTTGGAGACACGGATCGCTGACGTGGTTAGAGGGTTTGCTGAATGTCCCAGGTTTGACACTCGGCAAACCGCAGAATTGCCGAGTGCCAGATAAGCGGCACTCGACAAACCTATTTTTTTTATTTTCCTTTTTCTCCCTCTTTTTCATAACGTGTTTTCCACGGACGCTGGGGGCAGGGGGCGACGGTGGGACGCGTGTGTGCGTGCGGTGCTCGTGCGGTGGCTTTGTGTGCGCGTGTGGGTGAGACCGGTCTAGGGTGGTTATTAGGAGGTTTGCCGAGTGCCCGTGATCTAGCACTCGGCAAACACATTTTGTTTTTTTTCATTTTCAAACCCTAAACTATTGTGCGTGTGTGGGGCCGCTGAGGGGGTTTGCCGAGTGTCCCAGATCTGGCACTCAGCAAATGCCAGCTTTACCGAGTGCCACATAATTGGCACTCGGCAAACCTATTTTATTTCATTTTCCTTCTCTTTTTTTCAGGCCATGTTTTTCTCAATTTGTTCTGATATACTTTGAATATATCTTGTCAAATTGACTCAAAAATATATATTTGATTTTTCTAGGAATATTATTCCATTATTTTATGCGGTTACAGCTCAAATTTAATTTATATCAATTAAAATTCTATAATTGCACTTAATAAATTAAAATTATCACGCGGATCAAAAAATTTAACAAAATTTTATATGAAACAATCTATGTTCTCTATTGCCTATACAAAAAGTTTTAAAGTCAAACCCCAATTCGACCGTCACTTTGACTCCAAATCTTACCAAATCCTTCTAAACGCTACGATTCTTCTTCTGAGATGCTTCGGTTTGTAAGCATCGTACGTGAAACATTGTGCGAAACCTTCTCAGTTTTTTACCACAGCCTCCACGTATGATATCATGAGATCTTGACAAATCTCATGATTTTCATACTTCGTTTGCTTTTTTTAGAATTTAAAAACCATTCGGCCACACATTCGTGGTCGTGTTTCTTGAACAAGATGTTCGAAATTTCTTTTTATTTCCCGAGTAAGGCCTCATACCGGACTCAATAACATGTATATCATTTTTCTATTCATTTTATTCTACTATTTGAACCACTTGTAGTTCAAATTTGACTTATACCAAAAAAATTTCTTGAAATGCAATAAATTAATTAAGTATAGCAAACAGATCCGAAAATATACAAAATCTTAACATGGAGTACCACATATTGTATGTGGAGAGTAGAAAAAGATTGTAAGTCAGAAAAGAAAAAAGCTTATTTATTTGCCAAGTGCCAACAAAACACTCGGCAAACTTAGTTCTTTGCCGAGTGCCACTAACGGACACTCGGCAAACTCCTAACGGCCGGCACACTAACTGACAGATGTCCACATGATGGTTTGATGCTGAGTATCTCTATTTTGCCGAGTATTTTTTCCTAGTTTGCCGAGTGTTTTTTCATCACTCGGCAAATAGTGTGTTTGCTGAGTGCCATTATTTTACCGAGTGTGTTTTTTGCAGCACTCGGCAAAGAGCTTGTTTACCGAGTGCCCGAGAAAGTGCACTAACCGGTTTCCGATAGTGAAAGGACTTATATGTTGTAGCTCCGGTGGACGAGGAACCTTTGGGAGCGCGTAAGGCCTAATGGCCGGCCTTATATGTTGTCAGTTTCGGTGGACTAAGACCTGTGGGAGCACAGGCTCGTAATGAGCCGAGCCGGCTGCAAGCTAAATCTTGATTGACTCCAAGATCGAGAATTCGGTGGTCACAAGACCTTATATGTTGTCGGCTTCGATGGACCTGAAATCTGTGGCAACGCACGCTCGTAACGAGAGAGGCCGGCTGCAAGCTGGATCTTAACTCCAAGATCGAGAACCACCCGTTCGAACACGGAGGATGTATGACCATGCGTTTGCACGCATGCTCGGGATTCATCAGCTTCTCCTTGTCAATCGTCACATGCCAGTGCCACCGCGTCGCCGGCCCGTTCGAGTGACGGGTGGGCTCTTTCCATTCCTGATGATGTTGGCGAGGCGCCGGCCGGGGTTCACGTCGCGCCGCGCAAAGCGAGGACGAGGGGTAGCCCATTTCCACGATGGGCTGGGCTGTGGTAGCGATCCTCGTCCACGAGACCACGCCCCCGTATTTGGAATGGGCTGTGCCTAGATCACGACTTCATGGCTGGCCCCTAGTGATGTTTATTTTTTCCTTAAAAAACTGTTAGTTATATTCCATGGCTTCCTAAAAAAATGTTATATTCCATGGAATTTGCTAAAAAAATGTTATATTCCATGGAAAGCCAAAGTTTGGGTTAGTTTTTTTTTCCTCTCAAAGAAGAGTGACCTAAGTTCGAAAAAAGAAGAAGAGCGACCTGGCTAGTATTTCATGCAAATCAAAACCTTGAAACCTCTATAAATAAAACCCTGCTTATTATGCATGCAAACAAATGGAGATCTATGTCCTATAAATGTTATTAACTCATGTGGCTTTCTTTAGTCACGTTCCAAGCCTTTGCTCAAAATATTCTCTGATTTTCTTTCATTTTTGATCTCATTAAAGTCTGACTGGGCTCACATGCATCTGAACAAAACCAAACTAGAGTAATAGTCGATTTCTGGAAACCAAAAAGAAATACTCCTTACGTCCTAAAATAAATGTCGTTCTCGCTTTACGAAGAGTCAAATATTTTAAGTTTGACCAAATATATACAAGAAAATTTTAATATTTATAATATATAATTAGCATCATTAGATAGATCGTTAAATCTATTTTGACAATAAACTTACTTAAAGATATAAATGTTGCTAATATTTTCTACAAATCTAGTCGAAGTCAACAGTTTGACCGGTATGAATACCATAGCGACACTTATTTTAAGGCGGTGGGAGCACTCTCTAGTTTGGCTAATACTAATGAATTAATAACACCTGCAGTGCACGTGTGATCCACCTCCAGCCTCCAAGCACAAAACCAGAGAGATTCCCAAATTTAGTCAAACCCATGCAAAGATCACCCACCCTCCTCGTGCTCTTTCCCCAGATCAATCAAATCACCTCCCAGAAAAGGTTTATTATTAATCACCGACACCAACCCTAACTAAAAACATCTTTAAAAAAATAATCCTACTGAAAAACATATCCATGTAGCCGTATTTTGCACTAATATAAAATGGTATTATTATTAATACTACAATGCACTAATAATATTATAGTGTTTGCAACTAACCTCCCCGGGTTACGCTTAGCGCTTAGCAACACGCCGGCACGGATGGCCAAGATCGTTTTTGCATAAAGGTCCAGACATATTTCACGAGCTCACCGCGAGGTCCCTGCAGCTTGTACAAAGCCGTGGTATAATACGCCTTCACGTGGCGTCCCGCGGGCGCTAATTACAATGCCAATGGCGGCCCCGGCCGGCGCCGGCGAGCCCGCCCCGCGCGCGGAGGCGGCCGGCTTCGGCTCTGTCTCTGGCTCCAACTACATGCGGCCGCGGCGGGGGCCGCCGCCCCCGTCCCCGTCCCCCGTGGTCGGGAAGCCGCTGCCGTCGGGCGCGGTGCCGCGTCACGCGTTCGTGTTCGACGGCGAGGGCGGCTTCTCCGAGGCGCCCTGGGGCCTGGGCCTGGCGGCGTCCGGTTCGACTCGGATGCGGCCCGGGGAGTTCACGTGGCACCACGTGGAGCTCCCGCGCTCCGCGGCCAAGCTGCTCCACCACGCGCAGGCGCTCATCGAGCTCCTCTGCCCCCCGCTCACGCTGCAGGAGATCCTCGCGTTCGTCGCCACGGGCCCGCACTGCGCCTCCTCCTCCTCCTCCGGCGACGGTGGCGCAGGCGCGCTCCTGCTCCGCGTCAGCTCGCCGGGCCCCGCCGGCAGCGCGTACGCGCTCCGCCTCGCCGTGCGCATCACCGAGAGCTCCGTCGTCACCGTGTCCGTCGGCGGGGTCCCGCGCCTCGCGTTCGGGACCAGGCAGGCGTCGCTCCTCTCCGAGGTGCCGCTCGGCGTCGTCGCCGCCTCGCTCTCCGACGAGGGACACGGCGGGGGACGCGCCGTCGACGGCGGCGTCGTCATCGAGGAGCGCCTGCTCGAGTCGCTGCTCGCCATGAACCACGCGGACGGCGCGCACACCGACAACCCGGTGCCGCGGACGGTGTCCAACCTCCTCGTGCACGTCCTCGGCACGCACGTAGACCACGTCCACGACATTGTCACGCGCCTCGAGATGGACCTGGATGCCATCGAGCTGCAGCTCGACAAAGGTAAGCGGTCGGAGGTCGCTTTCTTGGTGGACAAACATCGCGTAAAGCTCTCATTCATTCCTCATCTGGATAAAAGTATTCGCTTGCGGCCAACCTACGCCTCTTTGGTTGGTGTTGGTGACGGCCAAAATGCTGACCTCTTGCGGCATGAACTCAGATCAATGTGTTAGAATTAGATTTGACTGATGATTGCATACAAGGTTTTTTTTTTTTTTGCAAGGTTTGTTAGGAGGGTGGGGTTGGTATGCTTTGCATCAGACATTCTGGAATGGTGGAATGCAGGTCCTGAATGTAACTTCGAGGATGACTCTGTTACATGTATTCATGTAATTTCATGAATCAGGATCCTATATAATGGCAGTAGAGTTTCCAAAGTAGACCCTGATCATAAGTTCCAAACCATCTAAAATTTACAACAATGCTATGCGACCTATGCCTAGTTAAATGATGTGTGCTTCAGCAAAGGTTTATTAGCATTGTGCAAATATATAGGGGTACCATATGCCAAACGTACTCTCCTTGCATTATAGTATTCAACAAATATCGTTTCGCATTTTCGCCTTTTTCTCTCCAAAAAAGATGACTTGCCTTTTTTATTTATGAACTGTGGATTGTGCTTTTTGCAGGTGGTCACTTTCTGAGGAAACTTTTGCTGGATGGAAGGAGATTCCCCAAAATGCATCTTGATCTACAGCGGTTGCTTCAGGTATGAGTTCTCTCTCAAGTTTCTGGGAAATGTTAGGAACCTGGAATGCTATTGCCTATTTTATAAGTTGCACTGCTTTAGTCAAAATCGCAATGTGCATGACGTGAGTGCTGATTTGACATTGAGGTTATCATGCTGTGTTGCTTATAATTTGGCTTTCAGGTTCTAAAAGTGCAGAGACTTGATTTCAATTAATCTATGGAACAGAAGTCACAGACTGCTACAATTTTGTTTCTAGGTTGTTTCTCACGGTGAACAGGTATTCCCCCGTGTGAAGGAAAAATGTGCCAGCAAGAGTTGGTTCGCAACTGGAGATATAGCAGCCCTTGAAGATCTGATAGGTCGCCTCAGAAGGCTCAAAGAAAACCTAGGATTCATTACAAATAGAGTTACCACACTTCAGGCTAGTCTGGACAGTTGGCAATCAGAACAGATAAATAAAAGCTTGTACTACCTTTCATTTCTCTCCATAATATTCCTTCCTCTTTCCATTGTCACTGGAGGTAAGTTCATCGTGCTCACTCGTATACTTTCCTGAATTAATTTCTGTTCTTCTAAGGGCTCTCATTTACCTGATTTATGTTGCAAAATTTTGTCAGTTTTCGGGATGAATGTTGGTGGCGTGCCATGGACTGAGCAGAACAAGAACCCTAAAAACCGGGATGGCTTCATGAATGTCATGCTGATATGTGTTGTGATCTTGTTACTTCTGTTGTTATGTTTCTTGTTTCCTTCATTATATTCTCATGTGACGGCATGGAGAACTCGCCGTGAACTGACCCGGAGCAATTCTCAGAACAAGAGACATCTGAAACTCTTCAAAGGTCACAAAGAAGGTTACATGCGCCTATGACAATACACAGTTGCAAACTGTAATGTCCATTTCAGCTGTAAGGTTATTGTCAGTGATGTTGTAAAATTAGCGGAAAAAGATCCTAGATAGTCAACACATGTACAGGCTTGAAGGAGAACCTCCATTTGAGGTTCATACCTTGTTCATTGCTTAGTTTATTTTGTTGTAGTCGTCCTGGGGTAACTTGTAGATTCATGGCTGTCACTGTACCTTTATTTGTTCTGATGAAAATGTGACATTTCTTCAATGAAGACCACCCGACAATTTGTCATTGTTGTTCCAGGTGGACGTGTTTCATAGTTGTACGCAGCAAATTCCTGCCTGTTTTCAGCATTGAAACAGTCGGAACAAAGCTATGTCTTTTCTTCTGAAATATGTTGTTGTTTCTATTGCATTGCTGCATGCCAGCTTTTTCTTCTGAAATATGTTTGTTTGTATTGCTTTGCTGCATGCCAGCTTTACTGCACATACCTGGCAATTTACATTGCCGGCGGTCGGCAGAACATGACCGAGTCTCCTGCACGAGCAATGAAAGTTGCAAAGCTGTTTATGCAAGTGTGCTGATTGGATCCATCGAGTAAACAGATACCTGCATATGAACGTTGACATTTGGTTTGGAATTTGGTGACAAACCTGGCCAGAAGGCACCTTCCAAACGAATTACATCCGGCACATTAGTATCTACCAACATTTCTGATAAAATATAACAATACAAATTCCAGATGTTGCCATCTTCAACAAGCAAGCATATATCAAAACAACTCAACAGTGCCAATATGATAATATGATTTCTGAATATAATTTCATATTTGAATACAAGGGTAAACTCCAAAGCGGAAAGCACGCTTCATTGTCTGCAACGAAAAGAACACAGGAAAGAGATTGACCATCCAGATTTTCCCCACTCCAATATGCGATAAAAAGGATTGGAATATTTTGATGATACATCTCTGGGAAAAATCGATATTATGACATCTCACTTCTATGCACAGCCCCGTGTGATTGCTTGATGGTAACTCTACCAAAACAGAAATGGTGCGCAATTGATGGGACACCAGAATTCTTCTAGAACCTGTGATTAAGAGCAACTGTGTAAGGATGCAACTAAGGACTAGATAAATAAAGTAGCAAATTGGGCTTGGGGGATGATGTAGAGATTTACTTAGTGTGTAGTTCATTGTTTAACTAATTTCATACCACAACACCAAAGGAAAAGCAGGAAAAGCTCACCTCTCCAGCTATACAGAATTGCATCTATTGTTCAGAAATTTATAAGACTTGATCTTCAGCACTAACTTCGTGATATTGAAAGCCATAGGTGTACTTAACGTTGCTTGTTCAGATTTATCATGACTACCCCAAAGATAAACAATGAGAAGTGGTAAAAAAAGGAGAACTAAGTGGTGCACCTTGATCCAACTTCATTACCGGCTTTCTGTACAGGAGATGAATGATCTGTAGACAAAAGCAATGTGTCCAAAATGATTCACTCTGCCGATCCACAGACAGAGTAAGACAAAAACATTATAATGATAGACAGAACCACTTGACGTACCAGTAGAAATAATTCTATCAATGTTATCTATGCGTCGCTGTATGGACTTGAGTAGCATGTTCATTGCTGAAATCCTCTTGCGGATACTGGAAATCCTTGCTGAATGTTGCATTATTACCATTGAGGGTGCATTCTCTAATAGCCTGTCTAGCTCTGCAAAAACTTAGTCTTAGTTTCATACAGTTACTGGATACACATACATACTTTCCATCAAAATAATGTGCACACAGACAATAGCACAATAGGTGAGACAAAATTTGGAAAAAAAAAAGCGTGGAAACTTGGAGCATAGGAAAATGTAAGAGATTTCTCCAAGTGGCTTGGGGTTCTCCAACTGGTATTTGGTGTGTCCAAATTTTTTTTTTACCGGGTTGGAAACTTGGTCACCTGCAGGCAAGTTGGACGCTGACACATGTGCCCATGTCAGAATCATGAATTTCTCAGTTTAATAATTTTAACTGTTTAACTGCTAGAATTTTCTAGTTCATCCATTTATTTGTTAACTCGCTTGAGATAATGAAGAGACTGAAATTGGACTAAATAAAAGGTAGATTCGGGTGCAACTAAAAACAACTATGTTTATAGGAGGAATTGGATTATTTACATTCAGCCTCTCGGACAGTACATATAGAGTTTACATGACTTGGGGCCAAGCCAGTACACAAGGATCCCAATCCCAACTAACTCTATCCTAGTCGTGATATACTCTATTACAATGTTAAGTGCAACTAAGAACAGCAGAAGTAGATTCAATCAAGTTCCTGGGTCACAATATTGACAGTTTGACAAGTAAAGTTCAAATCAGGTTCATATGCATCTCAATACTCGCAAGAAACAGAACATGCAATCTCGCATAAGAAATACTATGGTGCATTAGTTAAATTACAGTTGCATGTTCCAACGAGATATAATTTCGACTTCACCCTGTTCACTGTTACAATCCCAAAGAAAACAAGTAAATTTTTGGACCGTCCCTGAATTTCATTGCCATGCTGAGGAAATTACGAAAGTGCTGAGTAGTTTAAGAAAAGAGGCAAAGTAGATAAATAAATATAGAGCTCACAACTCATTTGCTAGTATGTCATCTAAATACCACTAGTCTTCGGTTAGAATCCCAAAGAGGCAAAGTACATTTTTGGGATGTCCCTGAATTTCATTGCCATGATGACGACGAAATTACGAGAGAGTACTGACTAGTTCAAGAAACAAGGCAAAGTAGATAGATAAAATACAGAGCTCACAACTCAATTGCTAGTATGTCATCTGAATCCCACTACTCTTCGGTTTGAATGAATGCCACAATACGCATAAGCTAGTGTCCAGACAGAATGGTACGCATCAGAAGCCGGAGAACCCTAAGCCACAACGCGCGCACGGCATGACAGCAGCAGCAGAGAAAGTCGAAGGCTGGGGCGGAGAGAGGCACCTACCTCCGTTGAGGCGGTCTACAGCAGCGGCGACCTCGTCCTGGCTCCGGGCCGTGGCGGCCGCTCGCTCCTCGTGCTCCCGCAGCGCGCCGGCCAGCACCCCCGCGATCGCGGAGGCCAGCGCCTCGCACCGCTCCGGAGGGGGCGCGGCGGCAGGTTCGTCCTCCACGCCGCCGTCGCCCGCGCTCTCCGGAGGCCGGTCGCCGTCGGCTGCCGTGGCGGCGGAGTGGGAGGGGAGATCCGCGCCGTCCATTCGAGTGGTGGTCCCATCCGGAGAGCACGAGCGGGTTTGGTGGAGAGAGACATGAGGAGCGAGACGGCGTTGGGCCTTCGGTTGGCCGAACAGGGCTTCGCATTGGGCTAGTGAGCCTTCGGTTGGGCCTAAACGAAAGGCCCTGTCGTGGGCGTCACTAGTCCACGCTTGCGGCTTCGAAATGGACCGTAGATTGTGCATTTATTTTTTCATTTTTTTTTACGGAAGGATTGTGCATTTCCTTTGGTTGGCTAATCCAACTAGACAATGTTTAAGCGAGGAAGGCAGCTTTTAGGCTATCTAAAACAACAACACCCAAAATATAAGACATATTTATTCTTTGGGTAGCGCTACAGGCAAAAGGTTCAATATCTATTTAGCATCTTCTCCAACAACAAGACTCAAAAGAGAATCATTTCTGCAAATGGATTTTCAGGAGAGAGGATGCCCATATTTGGGTTGTGCCTCTCAGGAACCTAAAATAAGTCTCCCGTATAGGTACTCTGTTGGAGGTTGATTTTAGGTCTCTTGCTACCCCTTTTGAGTTTAGATGGCTATATGGGTTCCTTGTTTGAGACAATCTTAGTAATGCTGAGTTTGTACATAAGCGTAGGGACTCAAACACCGATGCTCTTAGAATAGCTCATAGCTCGATCAATGCTGAGTTAGGACGGCATGTGTGGTTCTTAAATCCACTGATGGTGTTCGAATAAAGAGGGTGATGTTGCTTAAATAAAAAAAAAAGTTAGACAAAGTTTAAGCTATTTTTAAAATAAATACTCATAACGGGTATCAGAGTTTGGAATCGACCCAAAGCAAGACTCGCGACAGTTGTGCATCAGGTTTTCGGCTTGGTGAATATGGAGAAGAATGGGACTTGGTCATTAGGACACACTTATGCTCACTGCTCAGACAGTGCGATCGACCGCAGACGAGCCGAGAAAGTCAAAATACCAATGGAAGCAAACCATTTCTACAATGAGAATCAATGTTGAGCAACAGCTTGTCACAACAGAAGGCTCGAGCTGCATATGCTACCATCAGCCAGCTTCAGATGCAGACTGCATGACAAGCTGCACTGAAGCATACCAATCGGTGAGCTCTTCACCACAGCTGGACTATGTTTCTCTGATAATTTACAGATAAATGCCAGATAAACCAGCTCCAACAAGGGCAGATACCGCAATAACACGATGAAAGAGCAGCCACGCACAGCACAAACACAGGAATTACTTAATAGGTAGGTAGATATTAGCAGCAAATAAAGCTCCATCATAATAGGTTCACAAAACAGACAGACTGATTTGTCTTAGTGCAAAACTCTGGATATAACTAGAACAACGATAGCTGGCCTACTGAAGTGCAGGTTTCCGAGACAAGCCATTCGACTGATGGCGAACGATGACGCCACGCCAGGTTGACATCTCTCCATTAGCAAACGCATCTGAAGAAATGTATGTACACAAGCATGCCATCACGTCCACCATCCATCTCCATCAGCTTACTTGGATCTCTGCCTCATCTTTCGGCGCTTCCTCTTCAGCCTCCTCATCCGCTTCTTCTTCCACTGATGATTGACAGATGAGAATGCATCAGTGGAGTGAGCATTAGATAAAAGGAAAAAATAATAGCACAGGATAGACGAGAATGCAACCAACTAAAATGCAGAAGAATAGGACTGTTCTTATATACTCCATTCCAAATTATAAGACTTTTGGCTTTTTCGAGATTCAAGCTTTTACTATACACTTAGATATAGTGTACGTCTAAATACATAGCAAAAGCAATGTACCTAGAGAAGCCAAAACATCTTAATTTGAAATGGAGGGAGTAAAAGAGAATAACCCAGTTAACTGACAAGTACAAGGCAATTCAAGACAGACAGAAATACATCTAACTACTATGCAAAAGAACAGTACTACCCTTATACAAGAATAATGGTCCGTTGACACTTAGCAGAATGAAACAAAATAGAAGGCAATTCAAGAGAACATGTCTATCACGCACAATTTTCAACTAACTACCAAATAGAATTCTTATCTTAAGTGCCTAGCACCTTGCTAACTTTTTATGCTTCAGGCTAAGTGGAGGAAGCCAACAATTAAACAGATTAAAGGTAAACGCGGAATAAAAATCTCATTCAGGAGTATGTGAATGACTAGCTGACTAGCATTAGTAATGACAAACAATGATAAAAATAAACATACTGTATTAAGACAATAGCATATTTCCAGTGCCATGTCCATTGCAGTGCAAACAAATCATCAAGTAACAAAATATCTAAATCTCTAAACAAATAAAGCATTGACAATCACCAAGTAACAAAGTATCTAAATCTCTAAACAATTAAAGCATTGACAAGTTCTACAGTCACCATCAGATGCTGCTAGAAATACAATTCTATCTACTAATAACTAGATTTCAGCAGCAGAGGCTTAAGTCCACAGGGCTCATATCAAGTGTATGCGATAAAGAAACCTTCACCGTGGCCGGGTCAGAACCCTAGCAGGCGGCGGGGCCACAAGCGCGCGACGCCTCCCAGACCGCAGCGGCTGGACCATGCGGAACCGGGGCACGGGACACGAGATACCAAGCCCGCGCAACACGATCTGTTTCAGCTCGGCTCGGCTCGCGCAGGGCGGCACCTCGCGTCCCATGCTAACGATCCAGACCCGACAGCCGCTACGAGGGGCGCCACGCGCGCACGGCAAGATCCGCCGTCCCGAAAGGGACTCCACCCAAAATTGCGCCACTCGAGCCCCTCTCTTTGTAATCACAGCCCCGGAACATGGACGAACCGAGTAGAGAGCTACTGGTTGCTACGCAACACGGATCTAAGCGACGAGATAGTAGGCGCGAGGAGTAGGAGGGGAGATGGATGGAGGATACCTTGGCCCTCATGGTCGCCTTCTCGCGTGCCCTCCTTGGCGCGTCTCCTCCTGCTGCGTCGGCGGCGGGTTCGCGATGGGGAGAGGGGAATGGGAGGATGGCGGCGGCTGACGGTATATATAGGTGGGGAGGGATGCGGAACCCTAGTAGGAGTGATCAGGTGGCGTCGAGAACGTGGTGGGCTTGGGCCTTACGCCCTTACGTGGGCCACTGGTCTTGGCGTCCACCAGAAAACCACTATATTGTTTTTTTATGACCCATTTGAATCCTTCATTTTTAGAGGAATTAGAATCTCCTTTATGGGCTAGGTTATTTAACTTGAAATTTGACACTCTACAACCTTTTTAACTTTAGATATAAGCTTATCTTAAATTCATAGAGGTGAGAGATAGAAATTGATTTCATAAATCCCCACACTATGTTTCTACTCTGCAACTTATAGCACGCATTCGTCTCGCCCCGTTGTAGCACAAATGCAGCACATAAGTATGTGCCTCATGTGACTAATAGTAGTCAAGTATATTCCGCATATGGCCATATTGACTTAGCTGATTTGTACCTCAATTATGATTATTAGAATGGATTTCAATTTCAATGATCCAAATAGGGCCTAAAGGATTTTCAGAAACTCTGGTGTGCTCGGAGAAAGGCTCTATGTGAAGATATATTCCAAAGCTCGCTATCAACATTTAGTTTCATTACAGAATATCTTGACAATGTAAAATTGGTTGGGTTAATCGAGGACAGTGAAACAATATAGTTACCAAGGAACAAACAACCTGTCTCCAAATGGATAGCTCTTTCTGAAGCCTTTTTTGAAGTTTAATGTTGATGGCGCAGTGGCGCAATCCCGAGACACAGGAACTATTGGAGTAATGTGTAGCTACAGTGCAGGAAATTATGATGTTGCAAGTGCTATGGTTATTAGTGACCGTGTTGGTCTTCCTTGGGAAGCTCTAGCCTGCAATGAAGCAACTTCTTTGGCTCTTGATATGGGCGCACAGTGGGTAATAGCCTCTCAGATTGCTTGGAAGTGATTATGAATCTTCATAAGAAAATTTCGTGTGCTTTATTCGTTGACCTTAAAGGAAATTAAGGCTAGATGCGCTTCGCAAGAGGTCATTTTTAAGAGGCCCACCTCCTACTAAAAAGTGTTTGTAATTTGGCAGTTTGGCACTAGGGAGATATTTTGAGGCTCTTTGCTATCCAAAAATATTACATATATCAAAGTATCTCAAAACATTGTAAAATAAATAAAGAGAATTTCTTATTTGACACTGGGAAAATGAGTCGTTCCTTTCTTGGCCCTAAAATTTTCTTCGTTCCCTATTTGACACTCACATCAACTTTCATCCCTAATTTGACACTACCGTCAAATCCGTTAGCTAACGGTATTACCTGGCTGTTAAAAAGACGTTTTTGCCCCTAGAAAAAAAGCGGCGAAGCAAATTTGAGAGGAAAAAAAGCGCGCCGCCTCGATGCATGCGCCCATTGCAAAAAAAAGCGCGAGGTTTTTTTTCCTCTCAAATTTACTTGCCGCTTTTTTTTTAGGGCAAAACATCTTTTAATAATGGGCTAACAATCGTTAGCTAACGGATTTGATGGTAGTGTCAAATTAGGGATGAAAGTTGAAGTGAGTGTCAAATAGGGAACGAAGAAAATTTCAGGGCCAAGAAAGGAACGACTCATTTTCCCAGTGTCAAATAAGAAATTCTCTCAAATAAATAAGATCCTACCGAGGGGGGGGCGACAGGAGAGCGAATATGCCGCTTGAGCTAGTGGACTAGACAGTTAAGATGGGCCGGACGAAAAAATATGCCCGTGGTTGCAGCGAAACATATGGCTTTATGACATAAGATCACTTGACGTCTGCGGCCATCCATCTGCCACCCCTGCCACATCCGGTGAAATTTTTGCATTTTGGTCCCTTTTGAAAATATTTTTTTACAAAAAGACCTATGCCAAAACGTTTGCTGAAAATAGACCATTTTTTAGGCGTTTTAGAACATGACGCCAAGGTATGAGGGTCGGCGTCAACTGACACGACGCCGAGGTCTTGCCACGTCACGGACGACCCGGTCGACGGCGACACGGTGGCGCATGGGGTTCGACACGTCGACGTTGTGTCAGCCAACGCCACAAGCCCAACCTCGGCGCGGTGGGACTACACGCCGAGCTATTTGCACCATCCGACGCGCGGCCCAGGCGGCCCAACAACGCTTTGTGGCCCAATAGCTCGGCGCGGGGTCACTTAATGCCGAACCACCAGACTCGGCGTGGCCCGACTCAACGCCGAGGTCTGGACTCTTGAAGCCGCGCCGCGGCCCCCTTCTTCTTCCTCCCTCCATTCTGAAAGCGCCGGCTCTCTCTCTGTTCGTCTCCCCCCACGGCCTCCACGAAACCCTAACCCCCAAATGCGACCCTAGGTGCCCGGATCTCGTCTCCCGAAGCTTCTTCGAGGTAATGGTCCCTCTCCTCCTCCAATCTATCCGCGTAGATGTGCTTGCATCGTCTCTAATCATGTGGAATCATGGGTGTATGGTGTTTTGGTATATGTGTATTTACATTTGCAAAATGTATGGATTAGGTTGATTGAGTGCATTGTTGTTTAACTGTTTTATGTGCTGAACATGTTAGGTTAGTTTGGTTTCTAGTTATTTTGGTCATTAGGGTTCTTGGTTTATTGTAGGTGTCATTAGGGTTAGTTATTTGTTGGTCATTAGGGTTAGTATGTATTTTAGTTATTTGTTGGTCATTAGATTTCAATTTTTATGACTAGAAATGATTATGTTGTTGGGGTTGAAAAAGATGAAATGATATATTTTAGTTTCTACTTATTGGATTGAAACTCACATGATATATTGATATGTGACACTACTTGTTGTGTGATGGTTGTAGATGGATAAATTAGTGAGGTTGCATCATGGAGGCCGTATTGTTAGGACAAGAGATGATAGTTTGGAATTTCTAGACATATGTGAGGAGTTGTTGATTTTTTCTGAAACACCATCTTTGACCCAGTTAGTGGAGCGAGTGAAGGTTAAGTTAGGTTGGAATGAAGGAGACGTGCATGTTCAGTTTGAAGGTGTCATAGATGTTGGGTCGTCGAAGAGTCCTCGGATCAAGCGGTTGCTCCAAATTACAAGCGAGTCTGAATGGAATGATTACAAAGCAGTTGTATTGGCCTCAGAAGTGCGATCTTTGGATTTAGTAATAAGTAAGGAGTCCGGCTTAGGAAATGATAACTTCGAAGCATGCCCATCTTTCCCCGCTCACATAGGTTATGGTCCTTTGTCTGAAGAAGAAATACTTGTCACACAACTAGGCTACGGTGGTGGTGAAGTGTTTGGATCGCTCGAGCATGATGGAGGTTGGTTTGAGGGCGGTGGAGATGAGGAGGAGAATGCGGTTGTCGATGGTGAGGGCAATCATGATAGTGATGAAGAGGATGATGATTATGTAATAGGTGATGCAGAAGAAGGTTTGGACGACGCTAGCGGAGACTTTTTCTATTGAGGATGAGCTTAGCGACGAAGATGATCTTAGTGGTGAAGAAGACTTTGGTGATGCTAGGGCTACGAACCGTTTTGACATGGAGATAGCTGGAGATGATGAATCCTTCGTAGAGGAGATAGTCAAAGACTTTGATGACGATTGCCCTGTTGGTCGTCTCAATTTTAGGGAAATATAGATATTGTCTAGGGTCTTGCCTTGGAGAGATCCACTAGTTGGTGATTTCGAGGACCTTAGCCATGGTCACAGGGCAGTAGCTGATGGTGGGCCAAGTGATACAACAGTGCCTGATGTTAGCGGTTGCCTCATCATATGGAAGGGCATATTGTTTGCTACCATGGATGAGTTGAAAACATGGTTGCAAGAGTACTCTATTGTACACAACCGACCTTTTAGGGTCATCAATTCATTCAAAGAGAAGAGGTACACTGTTGCTTGTGAAGAACAACAGTGTGGTTGGAGAGTATGTGCTAGGAAGACGAAGGTAGGCAAATGGAAGATTACCTCAATGAAGCAACCACATGTTTGTGCCAGTGTTGAGGCAGAAGAGAACCATCTGTAGCTCAATTCTAGGTTCATTGCAAGGCAGTTATGCCCCGTGGTGAAGCATATGCCAACCATTACGGTGTCCGCGTTGGTTGAGATCATCTTCCAACGGTACAATTACTATGTCAAGTATGGAAAAGCATGGAGGGCAAAGCAGCGTGCACTGGAAATAATATTTGGAAATTGGGAAGAAGCTTATGAGCGCCTCCCTGTAATGTTGAACGCAATGGGGGCTGTAAATCCTAGGATGCACTTCAAATATTTACCTAAGGAGGGTGAAACAAGGAATGGTAGCCAGGTATTTGGAAGGGCCTTTTGGGCGTTCGGGCAGAGCATCGAAGCATTCAAGCATTGCAGGCCCGTCGTCTCAATTGACGGGACCTTTCTTACAGGGAAATTTGAAGGCACAATGCTTGTTTGTATTGGGACAGATGCAGAAGACCAGCTTGTGCCATTGGCCTTTGCGATTGTTCGGAAGGAGGACACGGATAGTTGGTGTTGGTTTGTCAGGCTAGTAAGACAAGTGGTAATTGGTCTGGGACGTGATGTTTGTGTGATATCCGATAGGCATGCTGGCATTCTGAATGCCGTAGAACAAGAGATTCCTGGTTACGGCCAAATACATCACCGGTGGTGCACCAGACACCTTGCTCAGAATCTTATAAGGCGTGATCACACAAAGGACAACTTTAAATTATTTGAGGAGGTTTACAGGCAGCAAGAGGTTCAATTATTCAAAGACAAGCTAGATGCCCTAAAGTTAGCCACAAATGTTGATGGCAGGCAATTCTTGAGCGAGTTGATGGCGTCGAAGGATAAGTGGTCACTTGCATATGACACCGGAGGTTGGAGATGGGGCTTCATGACTAGTAACATGGCAGAGATGTTCAATAGCCTTCTAAGAGGTTGTTGTGGTCTGCCTGTGACTGCTATTGCCTCATTCACCTTCTACAAGTTGAATGCTTGGTTCGTTTCGAGAAAGAAGCATGCGAGGTCTCTATGGACAGCAGGCAAAGCTTGGCCACTTTTAGCATCTCAGGAACTAGCTTTCTCAAAGAAAAAGTCTAAACGACAGAAGGGTTCATGTTTCGATCCGATCAACCATGGATATGAGATTCTAGAGGGTGGTGGAACTAACATTGGTGGTGAAGACCGGGGTGCTCGAAAACATAAAGTAGTGATCAATGAGAACAAGTGTACGTGTGGAAAACCGACCATATACCATAGGCCTTGCTCCCACATGATTACAGCCTGTCGCCTTAGACGTGTTGACGCTGAGGTCCCTCCCTGTATGGCCGCGGAGTTCTCTTTGAGGAACCTAATGAGCATAATTGGGACACATCCAGTACCTCTGTCTATATGTTTCCTCATCTTCAGAGATGTCTACCTTGCAAGGATCACCACAAAAGCACATGGGTCGAGGAACACCTTCAGGGAGAGGCTTTAGGTCGTAGGGATTTGCCCTCTAGCGACCATAGCTACAATTAAAAAAAATTAGTCATATTAACGGAGAACCAAACCTAAACCTAAGGTTTTCTATTTGTTGTACAAATAATGAATAAACATTGGGATTAACTTGGAATACGAGCTTTACCACGCCTTGGCATCCTAACATTACGTAGAAAAAAAATCAATCCAAAATACCTTGCAACAAATGTAAAGCTAGTAACACTAAATCACCATACCTCCCAAATAAGCTTTTCATTACAAACCCTAAGCAAATTTGAATCACAACAAACACAAAATTTAACTCAATGATTATAAACCAGAACATATACAACAACAACAACCATACATTTGGGTCATTCAATCATTTGAACCACCATACATTGCACGAATGACATGAACATGAACCAAACCTATAATGCCAAGTTAAAAAAAACACAAACAACCGAATCTAAATGGATGAAATGAAAGAAGGGAAAGAGGAGTACCTTGGCAAAACGTCAAAACCCTCGATCTGGCCTCCCAAGAGCTGGATTTAGGATTTATGGTTCGTGGGAAGAGAGAGGGACTGGGAAATGGCCACCTGTTGGTTCTGAATGGAGGGAGGAGGAAGAAGGGGGCCGCGGCGCGGCCTCCACTGACCGAACCTCGGCGTTGAGTCGGACCACGCCGAGGTTAGCGTCTCGGCGTCATCTGATCGCACGCCGACCTCTTGGCCCACGAAGCGTTGTTGGGCCGCCTGGGCCGCGCGCCGGATGGTGCCAAGAGCTCGGCGTGACTCCCCACTGCGCCGAAGTTAGGCCTGTGGCGTTGGCTGACACGACGTCGACGTACTGAGCCCCATGCGCCAGCCCCGGAGTCGTCGGTGACGTGGCAATGACTTGGCGTCGTGTCAGTCGACGCCGACCTTCATACCTCAGCGTGATTTCCTAAGACGCTTAAAAATGGTCTATTTGTAGCAAAAGTTTTGACAGGGGTCTTTTTGTAAAAAATGTTTTAAAAAGGGACCAAAATGCAAAAATTTCACCCACATCCGTTACATTAATTTAAATTTAAAGAACTAAAGACGTAAGTAATAGATCCGTGTGCGTCCATCTCTTGACGTGTGCAAATTTAATGAACTAAAGATGTAAGTAGTAGATCCGTGTGCCGGCCATCTCTTGACGTGTGCAAGTAATAGATCACACATTGGTGAACATTACTTTGTTCATGTTTATTTCACAGTCCAAGACGTTACAGCAAACACAACACGCACTGCTGCTTGCAGTAGAACACACACGCACTGCTGGGAGAAACATTCATCAGGGAACAATCTTGCAGGCCTTCATCTTGTCGATCCAAGTATTGAAGGACTTGGCGGTGTTCCGGAAGCCGAGGAAGCCGTGCTCCTTGCTCTTGTTCATGCTGTCCAGGAACTCCCAGTTGGCATAGAACAATCCATCGACGAACCACCAGTTGGCCACCTCGTGGAGCTGCGTCGCCACAAGCTGGTTCTCCTCGACGATCTCCGCCCACACGGCGGCCTTCCGGGGCATGGCCAGCGCGAGCTTGACGCGCTTCTTCTCCCCCCTGTAACCAACCCACTCCAGCCCGAACCGGTCGGCGAGGATCGGCCACAGCTGCTCCCACTTGAAGATGTCGCCGTTGCTGCAGTTGAACGCCTGGTTCTTGGCCATGCCCGTGGGGTCCACGGCCGCCCAGATCTGCTGCTCGGCGACGAGGTCGGCGTCGGAGGCGGTGCTGAACCCCTCCCACGCGCCTCGAGAGCCCGGCCACCGCAGCGGGACGCCCTCCTTGAGGCAGATGGCGGCGTACACGCACAGGCTGCACACGATGTTCATGGCGCTCCGGGGCGAGAAGCCGAGGATGAGGTTGGGACGGTGCACCGACCAGCTGATGCCGCCGCCGCCGCGCTGGGAGACGGCGTCCAAGAGGACGTCCTCCTGATCGTAGTAGAAGTTGCGCCAGCCGAGCCGCGGCATGTCCTCGGTGTAGGGTGGACTCAGGGGCTGGGCTGCCGCCGCGCCGCCGCCGAAGATGCCGCGGATGATGCCGCCGACGATGCGGCAGGCGATCGCCTCCGGCGGGCCGGTGTAGTGCTTGGTCCCGGTCTGGAGGCAGACGTGGGCGAGTGCAGGGCAGTTGGGAACGACCACCGAGAGGACGTTGCGGAGCATGGCCGGGTTGGCCCTCCGGTTCCGCGCCTCGATCATGTGCGGGGACAGCGCGGCGTAGAAGACGTGGGTGATGTCGGTGAGCGGCGCCAGGGCCTCCGCGACGGCGGAGGAGTCGCCGAGGTCGACCTGCAGGTGCGTGACGGCAGAGGCCGGCTGGTCGGCGGAGGCGGCCCAGGGCGGGAGCGGGCGGCGGGAGAGCGCGTACACCTTCCACGGCCCGCCGGGCGTGTCCGGGAGCGGGAGGATGCCGACGAGGGAGCTCCCCACTATGCCGGTGGCGCCGACGACGAGCGCCACGCTCCGGAAGTGCCCGTCGGGCGCGGCGGCGGCTTGCTCGTCCTGCGGCTGCGTCTGCGGCTGGGCCGCGCCGATCGCGCGCCTCCACCACCAGCTCATCGTGCTCGTACGTACGTACGTTGCGGCCGGCCTGGAAATTGAACAGAACTGTATGATGGAGAGGGATACATACATATATATTTTTGGATAGATAGATGAGTTGCTTCCGAGGCTTTCCAATATACGTATAAGAAAAACACTTTGGAGTTTGGACTTGAGCAGCATGGATCACGAGCTGATATAAATACTACGGTCTGCAACTGCAAGCATGTGCCGTCAAGAAATAGAGAGGTGAAGTGGACTTGAGCAGCATGGATCACGAGCTGATATAAAATACTACGAGCTCTTAGTACTCTCCATACTTGTCAATGTGATAACACATAGACTGCCTAGCGTTTGGCTGGGGATCGGTAGAGTGGGACGGTCCTGTCTCTGATTTTTTGAGACGGGATGAGAATGGTATGACTTCATTTTCGGTTTGGTTGATAAGGGATGGAATCGACCAATTTTGTGTTTAGTTCAGAGGCATCAAAAGTGGGATGAGCCACTGGACAGTGGGACCTATTTGTTAGTTTGTTTTTTCTTTTTCCTTCTCCTCTCCTTATCTCTTCCTACCTCCTGACACCTCCTCTTAGTCGTGCCGGCCAGGGTCTTCTTCCCTGTTGAGCCCGGCCGCAACCCGAACCGGGCCTCGTCCACCGGCGAGGCCGACAGCTCCTTCGCCCACAAGGCCGGCCCGCACGCCGCCCCGTGCCTCCTTCATCGGCCGCCCCATGTCTCCTCATCCACACGAAGCCCCGGGCCTCCTCATCCGCTCGCGAGCTCGGCTGTGCGTCGCCGTGGACCTCCTTTCCCCTGAGCTCAGCTACGCACCGCCGTGTGCGTCCTCCACGCCGAGCTCGCTTGCTACGCTGCCTTCTCTTCTCCCTCACATGTAGGTAGTGCCGCCCCACCTAGGGTCAGTCCGCTCGTTTCACTGGGGCAGGGTCGTCCCGCATGTTGTTCGAGGCCCAAACCTCCGAACACTGGGTTGTCGCACAAGCGAACTCTTGAGACGGGACAAGACGAAAAGATGAACACAAGCGGAACAAGACGGCGGATTTCATTCAACTCGAGTTCTTCTCCTTACACTCCTTGTTGACGGTCACTGACACCCGTTTTTACCATTAACATTCCACCCAAAAGTATGGAAAATCATCATCACATGTGAAGATTTATATTTAAATTTCACCTAGTTCCACTTGTACTTGGAGAATTATTTGTATGCAGGAAATATGACAAATTTTAGCCAAAATGGTGACAAACATGGACCATAGGAGCAAGTGGACGTGGCAGGGCCACCTAGGCCCACTGGGCAACGTCGCCCGGCCCCACCTGGTGCCCACTTGGCACCTTGCCACGTCAGTGATCCATGGGAGATCCTCCTCAACCAATTAGAAGCGTTGATCCAAGTCGGTTTGATCAATGGTCACGCCATGAGCCCATTGTCATAGGCTTGGTGCTTCACCAACCGACTTCCCGTCCGAGTTTCACCACATGCTATCCAATTAACCACCATTGGGAGCCAACCAACGCCGTAGGATCAAGAGGCGGTGGAATGGAGGGCCGGGCGGCGCCCTCCCTAGGCCGCCCGACGCCCAAGTCACCTCCACCGACCTCCTGGCTGCCTACAAGTACCCCCATGCCTCCCTACACTATAAATAGGGGGTGTGAAGCTCGGTGGAAGACATCCCATTCAGTTCTAGTCATTTCCAAGCTCTCCAAGCTTCTCTAGCTTAGCTTTAGCTATAGAGTAGTAGTGGAGTAGAGCAAGAGTGGAGCTTCTCGGAGTCCGGAAGAGTGTTCTGGGTCTGGTATAGCTCCTTTATAATTCTTTCATTTTTGCATTACTTTATTTAGTATTTATTTGAGTACTTTATTTTAGTATTGCTTGCTTCACTTGAAGTACTTAGTCATTAGTGTTCATCATTAGTGAGCTTAGGTGCTTGTTGTTTAGCATTAGTAGCATATATTATCTTATTAGTAGTAGTCTTTCGTTAGTACCGGTTCCACCGTCTGGTTAGGGTGCTTTGATCTCATTTCATCGAAGCTCGGATCGAAGTAGTAAGTTTATAGATTAAGCGTGGTGCTTAGGCTATAGATTACCTATGGATACGGCTAGGCCTCCGGATAGATTGGGGTAGGTGGCAAGTGGTGACAGCCTTGTCCATCCTCTGTATTCCCCCATGATAGGTCTAGTTATTAAATCGTAGGGTTCGTGACAGACCTTGTCTATTTAACTCTCCTAGTTGGTAGGCGGGCTATGCCCCGAAGTACTATCGTATTTCTCCTAGTTATTTGTTTACCTTTAGTTACTAGAAAGATAAATCGCTTGCTCTCCCACCTAGCTATCTCTGGTTAGCTTGTTAATAGTAGTTAGTTTAGGTAGTTTACACTCATCCTTCACTATCGTCCACCTACCTAGGATCAACTTAGAACCTACCTTTAGCAAATCCTAGTCCTGTATAGATTCTAGCCTTCCGTCTTCCTGTGGGATAAATTATAAATTCGACACTCGGTACTCACCGAGCGAAGTGGTACGTGATAGTTCTGTGCGCTTGTGGAATCCTCCAATAGACGTTAAGAAATATCAACAAGCATTTCTAGAGCCGTTGCCGGGGAAGGCAATTGGCATCGAATTTATAAGGTTGAATTTGTTAGCTAGGTTCTTTTTAGTTATCCTAAGTAGTTTATCCTTTTTTCCTCATATCCTATCACTACCCTACACAATCATGGCCGACAAGTCCATTCATGATTTTTCTGCACCCTCGGCTGTTAATGTAGCCACCGGACCCAATGTTATCAATGGGGACGCTAACTTTGAGCTTAAGCCAGAGTTAATTACGATGGTTCAAGCTACTCCATTTTATGGGAAAGCCCACGAGGATACAAATGCTCACCTCCAACATTTCTTAGAGATTTGTAGCACATTCACCATTAAGGGAGTGAGTCAAAAGGCTATACGTCTTCGCCTTTTCTCCTTCTCTTTGTTAGGAAAGGCTAAGCAATGGTTTTACTCTAACCGCAATGCTGTAGATACCCGAGACAAGTGTTCCAACGCTTTCCTAGTTAAGTTTTTCCCCATAGGGAAGACTAATGCTCTGCGCAATAAAATCTCTAGTTTTAAATAACTAGCAGATGAATCGATTCCTGAGGCTTGGGAACAAATACAAGAGTACGTCTCTACATGCCCACACCATGGCATGGAAGACTGGCTTTTGATCCAGAACTTCTACCATGGATTAGTACCATTAGATAGGAGACATTTAGATGTTGTTGGTGGTGGTGCATTCTTTTCGCTAAGTGTTGCAGATGCAAAGACACTGATCGAGAAGATGGTCTCCAAGCAAGGATGGAGCGACGATCGACTCCAACCCCGTAAACGAGGTATGCATTCAATTAAAGAAATTGACATGCTTGCAGCTAAGATGGATCTACTCACGAAGCGAGTGAATCATTATGAGAAGGTGAGTGCCCAAGAGACACTCAAAGCCATGGATTCCCACATGACTTGCGAAGTCTGTGGAGATGTCGGACATTCGGGCAATTCCTGCCCCGAAACCCAAGAGGACCTCAACTTCATGAACACCGACAGCGGGTTCCGTCCACAACATCAAGACTGGAATCAGCGCTCCAACAATCACGGAGGTAATAATTATTACTCTTCTTCTCGTTTGAATAATCAGGGTAATAATAGTTATGCTTTCTTGAAAGATCTTGTTTATAGTCAAAGTAGAATGACTGATAGCATTACTAAAAAGTTAAATGCTCATGACAAGATGTTGGAAAACATAAATGCTAAATTGGATGAATTTTCTTCTGTCTTAAAGAATCAACTTAGTTTCAATAAGATGATAGAAACCCAATTAGCTCAAATTGCTGCTGCTATCCTATCTATGAAAAAGATAGAATTCCTAGCAAACCTGAGGGGACAATGGAAACAACCAACCTTGTTACTGCAAAGTATGGCTATGCTTTAAGTTCTTGGGGTTCCTATTTACTAGATTCCCCATTTATCATTAAGAAAGGTGATCCCGGCATCCCCACGATTACCTGCTCCATTGGAACTCATACCTTCCATAATGCTCTGTGTGATCTAAACTCTAGTGTTAACATAATGTTAAAAGCAACATATGACAAATTGTTTTACACTACCTTAGCACCAACTTTAGTTTACTTACAATGGCTGATCAATCCACCCGTTATCTCGAGGGAGTAGACACTGATTTATTAGTTAAAGTTAGGAGTGCCTATGTACCTACTGATTTTATGATCCTAGACATGGGTAACGTCAAGGATACACCTTTAATCCTTGGTCGTCCTTTCCTTAACACTACAAATGCTTGCATATATGTGGCTTCTAGGCAAATCCAATTCTACTTTGCTAGAAGAAAAAAAATATTTGCTTTTGCCTCTAGACAACCCCTCTTTGATGAGAAATAGGAAAAGAAGAAGCATCCAAAGAGAATCAAGATGAAGAAACCAAAGCCGATTAAAGAACCGGAGAAGCCTGTCAAGAAAAAGAAGAATAGAAAGAGATAGCATAAAAAGAAAGATCCTTCCTCAAACTCGTCATCCCCGACCCTAATCCTGACAAGGCCTTCATGGTGGAACAAGAGGAAACGCCTCTGCCCAAGGACGAATGACCTTGAGCCCAACACGAAGGTAAGGTTTCTATTCCTTGCATTCATTTACCGCATTTCATTAATTGCATCACATTTGAATTTCCAATAAAGTTGCTTTACATTGCATGATAGGTTAGTTGCACTTAGCTACTCTATATTAATAAATAAAGTTTATAGTAGCTAATGCAATATTTAATATTAATGAATAAAATTCAGTAGCATCCCTGCTGAATAAGTTATCTAGTAGTTATAGGTTTAGTTAGTTATTTATTTGCATTCTAGTAGTATTAGTTAGTCAATAAAGAAAAGAATCAAAAGAGCCGCTAGAAGACATTCCAACCTATGCAAAAGGCAAGCTTGGGGGAGACATCTCTCCCCGCTCAGGTATGAAAATCT